AAAAATCAATGAATCGTTTTTTTTTCTGGTAGGTTTTGTAAAAATTCATTGACGGTTTTATTTTTTTGAGTGGGGGGAAAGGGAGGAGGAAGAGGAGATTGGGAATATGTTAAAAATGGCAAAATATATATATGAATAAAAAACATGGCGTTTTTTTTATTCCGAAAAGATTTGCTGAAAAAGGATTAACTTTCAAATTTTTTTTTTTTGCTAAATGATTTGTTTAAAAAAAAGAAAATTTATAGTCCAAGTTTTTTTTTTTTTTTTTTATTAAATAAACGTCCGACAAAAAATTTTCCATATTTGATATTAAAATTTCTTCTTTTTTTTGTCGGGGGAAAAAGGGGGGGCTTTTTTTTTAGGTTATATAAGTAAACAAATTTATATTCTTTCGTATATATATATGAAATAAATAATCTCAATATCCGGTTATGTTTTTTTAATATTTATAAATAACGTTCGAAACCCGGTTTTTTCGAATTTTTAAAGAAAAAAAAAAATTTTCTCTTGCGATTGACATTATCAATAAAAAAAAAAAATTAGGCATATAACCCCCCCAAAAAAAAAAATATTTCCGTCATTCGATTTTTTTTTTATTAAACATAAATAATTATCCTAAAATATAAATAATGTAAAAATTTGACCTACAATTCATTCTACCGTTTTCAATGATTTTTATCACCGTTTGTTGTTGTTGTTGTTGTTTGTTCCAACATTCACCTCTAATTACCATATATGCATTGTTGTAACGTCAATTTTCCATATATATATAAAAAAAAAATTTTGACAAATGAATTCGTGTACGATTAAGTCCACCTGTTTATTATATTTTACCTACGGTTTTTTTTTTGTACATATAAATATTTTATTTATATTCCGTTCAATAATAATAATAATAATAATAATAATAAAATTGGGCGTAACGTAATGATAAACGATAACATGATGAAACGAAAGATGAACGCGAAAAAAAAAAAATGTCGAAAATTTAATTTTTTGCTCAAATAAATTCACATCTCGTTTAATTTAATTCAAATAAAATTATTATTATTATTAATATTATAGATATCGATTTAAATGAAGAAAGTTGATTATATCCGGTTGTTGTTTGTTTGTTTGTTTGTTTGTTTTCACATCTATCGCCCACTCGGAATATTATGTTGACACCGTAGAAAATTATTTGAAAACACTTAAGAGAGAGAGAGAGAGAACATTAGTTAATAAAGAAAAAAAAAAAAATAATCTCGTAAATAATGACCAGTCTTTTTCTTTTTCTTTTTTTTTTTTTCTCGCCATATTAAATATTTACAACAACAAGAGAAAGAGAGAGAGAGAGAGAAAAGGTTTATTTTTAAGGTTTCAGGTTTAAATCTGCATTCATTTCATTTTTCTGACAGTAATCATTTCATTTCTATTGTATTGTCGTAATAATTTAAAGGATTCACTTATTATTATTATTATTATTATTATCACACGCGGATCATATCAAAAATTGTTTTTTATTATTATTATTAATATTAATATTATGATTTTTACCTTGAAATTAATTTATAAACTTTATTGTTAAATTATTTTTGTTTCCTTTTTTTTTTTTTTTTTTTTTAAATCGTATAAGAAAGATGAATCGTTGGCACATGAGAATTATTATTATTATTATTATTATTATTATTATTATTATTATTATGAAAAG